AAAATGTTAGTAAACCAAAAAATGTTCTGCATTTATCATTCCATCAAATTTACATTGTTATTTGTTACATTTTATCACATTGACCCATTAATACTACCGCAATAAGGTTCCCGTTTAATCAAAATGCCTACATATGTTGAAAAAGGACCAAATATTTGTGTGTCCTCCAAAGAAAATATGATTCATCAACACATTTTTGAAAAACAGCTAATTATTAAATTTTTACTCACAACCAAAAACACAAAAAGTAGTATTTTAAAGTTGAACCGTTTCCTAAGTTTAGTATCGAGGGGATGGCACAATACAATCACAGCCAATATGAACATATTCATTGCTTACAATACAGCTGTGTAGAGCCAGATTTTTTGGACCAATGAGATTCCACTGTGGGCGGAGCTGCTCTATTTGATATAAATAAGAAGAAACCAAGCGACTTAAGTGTGTATATGTGCATATATGTGCATGGTGTCCTGTGGAGTCAACACCAGTGGAGGAAGTTAAGGAAAGTGAGGCAAACAGGAAATCAGAGCGAAAATAATATTAAATACAAATCCTCATGTTCTGCGTTTTCATTTGATTGCCAGTTACCTTGTTTATTTTCTTAATTCAAGTTATTTATAAAAAGTGATGTGAAGTTTACCGTTAAGTGCACTGATGTCAGGCTCATTTTAGACAAAGTTTATTGTTAAATTGCTAAATACACTGCCTCCATTACATATTTTTTGTCACATCATTACAAGTGCTTGATCACCACATTTGAGTTATCATTGCTAAAAATGTGTTTATGTATATATAATCTGTTTATGTATATACTGTATTCTATATACAGTACCAGTCAAAAGTTTGGACACACTAATGGGAAGTGGTACTGTACTATAATATACACAAAGAATATCGGCCGGTATAGCGATATCTGACTTTTTTAGTCCCTAATATCGGTATCGGTATCAGGTTTCATTAAAATATCTTCATATGTGTTTATAAAAAGAATGAAAGTCTTATGGGTTTGGAATGACATGAGGATGAGTAAACAATGACAGGATTTCTATGTTTGGTGAGAAACAATGTAAAAAAGCAACACTATGGGTAACACTTTATTTTAAGGTGTCTTTGTTACACATGTTACATGTACTTACTATTATAATAACAATTAATTATGCATAATTACATGCAAGTAACCCTAAGCCAAACCCTAATCCTAACCCTAACCATATAGTAAGTGCATGTAGTTAATTAATATTACTCATCTTTTCATGATCTTTGTGATTATTTGTGAAATTTCTGAGTGAAAATTGTTTCATGTAACTCTTACACCATTTTTTTCCCCAGTGTATCCCTTTTGTCGAAGAATAGTCAAAAGACAGCATTTAACAAATTACATTGTTAGTGATGTGTAAAGCTTAAACAGAAATGCCAATTTATTATCTGGAAAATGTTAGTAAACCAAAAAATGTTCTGCATTTATCATTCCATCAAATTTACATTGTTATTTGTTACATTTTATCACATTGACCCATTAATACTACCGCAATAAGGTTCCCGTTTAATCAAAATGCCTACATATGTTGAAAAAGGACCAAATATTTGTGTGTCCTCCAAAGAAAATATGATTCATCAACACATTTTTGAAAAACAGCTAATTATTAAATTTTTACTCACAACCAAAAACACAAAAAGTAGTATTTTAAAGTTGAACCGTTTCCTAAGTTTAGTATCGAGGGGATGGCACAATACAATCACAGCCAATATGAACATATTCATTGCTTACAATACAGCTGTGTAGAGCCAGATTTTTTGGACCAATGAGATTCCACTGTGGGCGGAGCTGCTCTATTTGATATAAATAAGAAGAAACCAAGCGACTTAAGTGTGTATATGTGCATATATGTGCATGGTGTCCTGTGGAGTCAACACCAGTGGAGGAAGTTAAGGAAAGTGAGGCAAACAGGAAATCAGAGCGATAGGAAGTCTGAATGACAGGAAGTCCGGGTTGTGTGTTTGTGTGTCTGTGTGTGAGAGAGAGAGAGGTAGTCTAGCATGACACCTGTATGCTGGACCCATAGAAACGCTCAGCATGAATGAATAAAAAAACCCAGCCTGTGTGAAGGTGTGTAAGTGTGTGTGTCTGGTCTTTAGGAGGTCCTCAGCTCCTGCCAGGAGCGCTGCAGAGCTCATTCATCTTACAGTCCCAGTGCAGCAGAGCATTCACTCCCACTGACAGCACAACACCCTCTCTCTGTCTCTCATGCGTGACTCAATCAACCCCCACACACACACCGCACTGTACGCCACTCATTACAACCAACAGCTGTCTCTACAGCCCACACACACACACACACATCTGCATGCAGAAATGCTTATACACGCTGCTATTTCCAGTCTAACTTCTCATTCATTAAGTCTTTCGGTGCATTTCGAAGTCAAACTTTCTGTGCCAGGCGTCTGAAGAGGTGTTCAGAGTGTTTTCTATCATGTTGCTATACAGTTGTTAGAATGGGATTTTGGGCAAAAGTCAAAAGAATGCTTTCTGAAGTATGATATTCTGGTATTACAGTGGGATATTTAGGGCCCTATGAAATCTGTTTTATTTTTTTGCCAGATACAATTTTATTTTTCCCGAATTTCATTTCATTTTTTTTTCTGGATTCCATTTTAATGGTTTAATGGTTAATTTTAATACTCGAGATGGATGTCTAATCAATTGAATTCATAAACATTAACAATTAACAATTTACTAATTTATATTATTGAATGCATCGTGGGTTTGGAATGACATGAGGGTGAGTGATGACAATTTTAATTTTAAGTGAACTACACTGTTATTAACTACATTCTGTATAACTACACAAAATAATTTAGTAAATAATTGTTGGAACTCGGTGTCTGACACTGATGAAAATGTGCCATGCTTTATTACAACTGCATTTGGAGTTTAAACATGAAAAAATAGAAATGCAAGGGGGAAAAAAAGTAAAGTTTCAAAGTAAATCCTACACCAATTTATTCATTTTTTAAGATTAACAGGGCCCTACGATGGGTTTTATTTTTTCACAAATTTAGTTTTGCCTGGATTTTGTGTATTAATTTATAGTTTTATTATCAAAAACATTGGTCTTTTAAAATGCAAATCAAAAGAAAATCAAGCCATTTCTGCCAATTTGCTGACAAAGTGCTGCACAACAGAGGTTTACTGTTTAAATAAAAATATATCCTTACATGCTTTTTTTAATAAACTGGAATTTAATTATTATTACTTTGAGAACTACATTACAATTTAATATATTTCGGTAATCATTTCTCTAAATTAAACTAAACGAATACAAAACTGCTTTGCTCATTTATACAGAAACACGCAGAACATGCAGACTTTGTATTTAAATAGCAGTCTAAATAGCACCCAAATTTAGCCAAATTCCGTGACATTTCGCATTATACAGTAAATTCCTTTTTTATCATTTTTATTTTCCGCAATTCCATCTGCATTTTCAGCTTTGTGTAAATCACAAGGCCCTAGATGTTTGCGCTTTATCATCCACCAAGCAAAAGTTGATCACTATGAAAAGTAGCTGCACACGAAGATTTGAGGTACAGTATATTTCATGCATGAAGTACTAAATGCTGGAATAATAAAGATGCTCCTAAAGCTCAATTTACTTTTTCAGACATGTCTTTGCCACTCCAAAGAGAAAGAAAAAAAAAAAACTTGAGAAAATCTGCTACACAGGTGTCTGTGTTGAGTGTTGCTCAGGGCTCAGTGACGAGTGAATTCAGCGGCTCAACACAATTAGCTGCGTCTCACCAACTCATAACCTGACAGCACTGAAATCAATATGATACTCCACTCACATATACAAGCTCTTCGCATATACAAGTCTACAGAGAAGTGGGTTTGCTTTATGATTTTTGGTTTAATTGTCAGGTAACACAAATTTCAAGTCCAAAACAGTAAAAATAATAATAAAATAAATTATATATATATATATATATATATATATATATAC